GCTGGGGGCCAGGAGATGCATCAGTCTTTGCCAAAAGCATGGGGACCTGAGTTCAGATCCCAGAGCCCATGCAAACCCAGGTGCTGCAGCATAGGCCTAGAACCTTAGTGCTCCTCCAGGATGGGAAACTTGCAGGACATCTAGCATGGCATACATAGCATAAAACAAGAGACCCTGTCTCAAACAGGGTGGAGATCCAGGATGAATACCAGCGGTCCTCTCGCCTCCATATACAGACCATGGTACACTTGTGCTCACACTCTCATATTACATACACACACAGAATAACACTCCTGCATTACTAGCCTCATTTAAGAAACCAGTCTCACTACATAGCCTCTGATTGCAGCTTCCCAAGTGCTGAGATTATAGGTGTGTGTCACCATGGCATTATCCTCAAGAGAAAATGACAACAAAGAAGGATATAATTCCCATTCTAACCATATAGTTTAATGAACACAATATATGACTGTACTGAATTACCCTTTTATTTATAATGAAACCAGAAAGGATGCTTGCATGGAAACAAGATCTACAAAAGACTGATTCCACCCCCTTTAAATATATATATAAATAAACATATATACACACATATACATACTTAATAACTTCTTAAGTTATTAAGTAAAAGGTGATACCATGTGAAGATAATGGAATCTAGAACAACACTTAGGACTAGCTCAGCCTAAACACCGCTGACAAAGTCAGAACAGGCTTTTTCTAGAAAAGATCAGTGTGTAAAAAAGACAAAAAGGGAAGAAAAAGAAAAAAGAAAGAAAGCCATGAAATTTAAATAATGGCCCTGCAGACAAAGCCAGCTTCCAGAGATCACAATTAGAGACTGGGTCAGGAGCAGCATCTTGCTACGCAGCTGGATCTGTACAGAGTTCTACGTACCAACAGAACCAGGCTAATCTAAAACTCAGTCCTGATGTTATAGGTGTGTGCCACTATGACCAGATAAAGGCATGTTATTGCAAGTTCACTACAATGTCTTAGTCTTTCTGGATGATTTCATTAGTTGATCTAAAATATTATTTTATTTTTACTAGTGTGACATTCAGCTCCTATTAGAGTATATTTTTTAACAATTGTATTTTCATAAGTTATTTTTACTAACATTTAGCAACTTTGTTTATGTACATTCCATTCTACTGTACATTTATACACTTAAAGAATATTAGTTTTACTGATTTTTTTAAGAGTTCTTTGCTGAAACCAATAAGCATCAGTTCAGGCAGAGGGCACTATGAGAAACACAGTCTTCACAGCTAAAAGTGTCAGTCGCAGCCAGGCAGAAGCCCAGCTGAGCAGCATGGAGAATGAATGCTGTTTAATGCAAATGGGAAAACAAAGGATTCTATGGAAGTGTTCTTACAGTAAATAAGAAAAACAAAACAATAAGGAATGGTGTGAAAATGAGAACCTGGCAGGATAGGGTAACAAGATTTTTGTAGGTCTAAACAGTGCTACCAGCCAGAACAGTTTCTTTACCTTCAGAATGTATACGCTCTATACTCCGCCCAGGAAAGAAATAGGAAAAAAACAAGAGCAAACTAAGGTCCCTATCTGGAGCACAAAAACTGTGGCTTATTTATGACTGTATGTTCAAGGAGAACCCCCAACCCCTGTGCTCCTACCTCGACCTCCCAAGGGCTGCCACAAGTGTGCGTCACCACTGGCCTTCTTTTTAACCAGATTATAAAGACAACACTCAACACAGAGACAAACACACACACACACACACACACACAGTCTGAAAGTTCATGCACCTCACTGCACTCAGTAAGACACAGGCACTTGTTTGTACTGTCTCTCCCACCCAAACGACTGCCAACGAAGACAGGGTTTTCAGTCCACTCTCAACTTGAGGCAGTGGCCTCAAAGTTAAATTTAAATATCCCATCATTTTAAAACATCCACTGCGTATAGTTGCAAAGTCAGCTGAAACCCAGATACTCAACAAATCTGAATTCTGGCTTATATGGCTGTTAAACCATACTTTGGTCATTTATGTCACATAGAAGCAATTGTTAGTTTTATTAAAGTTTAAGAAATAATGGATTCTAGTACTGTAAGAAATATTTGAGCTACAGCAAAGTTATACAAAGATATAATTAAAATCAAACTGTTTTGCTATTAAGTGTAAATCAATCCCTAATGGAAAAGAACACCAAAATATATGAAAATATTTTTTTTAAAAAACCATAGTGTCTGCACTTTCCCTCCAACCCCTTGTTGTGAAGTCAGGCATCCATAAAACCATTTAAGTGAGGCCAACAGAGGGTGACCTTTATTTAATATAGTAAGATTATCTCCGTATCCTAAAAGGACTGCAGTAACTATAGCTGTGCCTACAGTTATTTGTCTTAAAAATTGTAGGATTACTACAACTTCCATGAAATGCCTAGGAAGTTACACCTTCATAAACTGCACTCTTGCATTTAGTTATTTCCCCCTCAGGGGCTACTGTTTTAGAGGAAGCTTCTGATGCTGGAGTATGTGGCAGCAGGCTCAATGAGCACCAAGACTAAAGTTCATGACTCAGCATTCCAGAGCTGGAGATGTACAGAGCAGAGACAGACCTGCCAGACCACGAATGTACAGCATCTGAACCACAGCAATGCTGCGGGCCTATGGCTGGAGGAGGCAGAGAGGGCGGAGGACGGGACAGCAGGGCTCCCGAGTGCACACACACACACACACACACACACACACACACACACTCCCCACTCCCCACCCCTGATGCCCACTTCCACACCTGCCACCTCATCTGTACTACTAACAGGAGGCAATTTATTACTGTTGAGTTCAAACACTTCTGATCCTCCTCGTGTGTGTGTGTGTGTGTGTGTGTGTGTGTGTATTTTGTAAACTTTCAAGAGTCCCACAATTAATAGCTATATAATCTATTGCAGTCCAAATTTCTAAGCTAAAACCAGTCCAATAATGAACAAAATCACAGACAGCAAATGATAAAAGCTGAGTTTTTCTTAACTTCATCTAGTAAATCCTTTAGCAAGTAAAAGAAGCCTGGATACACACTATTAAAATAGCTTTTCCCTGCTTCAGTTCATTTTACAGTTTTTCCATAAAGATATTTAAAACCCAATAGGAACCAAAATGTAAAAATCTTAAGTTTTTTTTCCCTCATAGAAAATTACTTCGAAAATGCCAACACTACACATGATCTTAGGAAAGAGATAAAGAGGAGTAAGTATAACAATGCTCTCAAGACCTTAACATGCTGCAAGAGCAGGCAGAACATGTACACAAGTTTTAAATACACCAAGTCAGAATTGAGAGTGTAAGAGTAGAGAAAATATTAAAGTCCCTCAAAGTGTGGGGGGGCACAGGGGGGTCAAAGGGGAAAAAAAGTCAAGCTAAAAGGCTTATATCAATACATAATCCATTCACCACTAAAATCCATTACAATGAAACAATGCCTAAGGGTTCCAGCAGAATGCAAGGACTGCTAAGGGCACCGGGCAGGTGACACACAGGATCTCGTTTCTAACTGGTTTTGTTAAGATTTAGGCACTGGACATTAAACCACCCAAACCTAGGCTGCCCATTCACAACCAGGGAATGTCACCTGCTCTACCGCTTAGCTGCGGAAGTACAGCTTGAAATCATCTCACCACATCTTAAGGTCACGAGAATGAAATCCCTAACAGGTGGCTATTTATTTAACTTCTTCCTGAACACTTCCCGTTAAGTGTTCCTTGTTTCTCAAGACCGATGACTACACTTCGGACGGGTGATTCTTAGAAAGGACTCGCTGTGTAAAACCAAACTCAGAATCGCAGGAATTCCCACCTTCTGGTACTGCCTAGGGAAACAGAACCCTGGAAAGGCCAAGCAGTGTAATGCGAACCACGAGGAAATGAAAAGTTCCATCACTCAGACAATGATCACTTCTAACAGGAGCAGCTTGGGAAAGGCTCCAGAGGTTTCTGTTGATTCTTGGAGACGGGAAGGGTTATGACCCGCAGGCTTCAAGCTGGAATTCTGTTGTAAGGTCTTTGTTTAGGAAAGACTGGCAGGAGAGCACATGTCAGGCCCCAGAGTTCTGGAAGCCGCGGTTTTAGAATACAGTGAGGGAGTGGTGGGCCCCTAAGAGACCTAGACTGGGTGATGGAGAAACACCAATATCCATCCGGCCATATGCCTGACGTCAGCACAGCGCCATTCTCTGAAGAGTTCTGACTCCAGTGGATTAGGGAGCCCAGAATGGGATACGGGCAGGAAGCTGAGTGCCAAATGGGCCCTACTAACAGACTGAAAAACTCCAGAAATAACAGAGCAAGACAGAAGAAAGTGGCTTAGAAAGGAGAAATTCTACGAACATAGATTAAAACATTAATTTTTATCTATTTAGTGAAAGTTAAACAAAACATGAGATTCCGGTTTACTTATAAGTGTAATTGTATCCCCCCACACACACACTATAGAAGATTCTGCCATCAGACACAGGCCTCTGCGTTCTTAAGGGCCACCTTCCTCAAGCCAAAGCACACTTTTTGAAAGTGAGGGCTGCAATGCATGATCTCTAGACACTATGTGACAAAGAACCAAGTTGAATTCAAGTGAGCATCTCTGGATGGGTTGCTTCAACAGTGTGATGGTCCTTTGAGAAGCCAAAGTCTCCCAGCTGTTCTGTGCTAAAAAACTTTCTACTTGGGATGAGGATTTCTAGTCTTTCCAGTACGGCACATCTGATCAGCAGGATGTCGACTACGAAGCAAGCACGTCGGTCCTGGGGGTCTAGAGGACCCCTGGCTGGACTCTCTCTTTCCCTTCCCCCAAGCGGACAGGCGAGGCCAGGCCGCGCCTGGAAAAGCAGTCGGTCACCCCACTCCCCGGCGAGGCTCCCAGGGGCCGACTCCCCTCCCCCAGCCGCCTCGGAGAGAGGGCGGCGCCGCCAGCGGCAGAGCCTGGTACCCGGTGGCCGGCTCCGATGGCTCGCCCGCCCCATCCCCTCCATCCACCGCCCTCACCTCGGCCCGGGCCGGCTCGAGGCCCTGCACTGCCGCGGGCTGCGGCTGCAGCTGCTGGGCGGGCGCCGGCGGCTCCTGGTTCCGATGGCTCAGGTCTTCGTCGGGGCCGGCGTGGACCCCGGCCGGGGCCCACAGCAGCGGAAGCAGCAGGAGCACCAGCAGCCGTCGCGTCGGCGCCCGGCAGCTCCCCCGGGCCGCCATCCCGCCCGCCCAGCCGGCACTGCGCTGCGGCAGGAGGAAGTGCGGGCAAAGGGAAGTGTCGAGCCGGGCGTGCCGGGAGGCGCGTCCGTCAGGTCCCGCCGCCGCTCAGCGGGCAGCCTGCACCACGCGGGACGCGGCGACCCGGACAGACTAGCCGCGGGCGCTCCGCGGCGGCCGGGCAGAACCCACACACTGCTCCAACTGCCTCCGCGGCCCAACTCCTCCGGCCCTGCCCCCCTGGCCAGGAAGGCCTCCCATTGGCCCGACGTCTGCCTCGACGTCGTGACGTTTCCCGCAGGTTGAGGTGCGGCTCGCGCGCTCCTCCCTTTAAGCCCGGCGCGCCATGCGGGTTGCTGGCTCTTGGTGATTGACGCTCCATGCATCCTTCTGGGCCCCACCAGCGACCCCTTGGTCTCTGGGCCATGCAGCGACCAGGCTGCAGGGCTCCTACCAGCACTTCCTCAAGAGCGAGCGTTAGGCAATTAGAGCCAGAGCCACCGCCACCCCCACTTGTATTAAATGTCAAGGGAGTCGCAGCCCTGCTACTGACGTGGCACTCCCTGGCAGGAATTGCCACACCTTAAAGTGGCGTTCCACCCACCCTCACCCAGTCCGAGTGCTACCTGAATAAAATATTCTGGGGCGGGGTTGGGGGGGTGGTCCACATGCTGGGTTTTGAAGGCTCTGAAGTGGGATTCGTAAGTAAAAGATGTCCAAGCTTTGTTTGGAGATCTTGTTGAGTAGCCGCAGGCCAAAAAAACAGGTCTAACATTGCCCTGTCCCAGAATGCCTTACTCTTTGGCTTTTGAAAAGTTGGGTGTTGTTTAGGACTTTTGTGGAATGGAGGCTCTGGGGTAGGCAAGACTAGAAGACAGGAAAGAATGGTTAGTTAGGCTCTAAAACATGACTGCATTTTTTTAAAAGAAAAGTTAAGCTACCTAATTACCTGAGTTACACACACACACACACACACACACACACACACACCACAAAGTGCTAGCCTGGCACTGTTCTAAGTCCTACTCCTATTCCCACCAGCCATTCCTGTAGCCTTCCATGGCTCCTTACAGAATGCAGCACTTGGCCCCTCAAGACATAACTTATGCATGCTCCCGGTGTGTAACCAGGGTGCTTCCCACACATAGTCACATAATTTGGGGTGCAGCTGTTGTACCTCCCAGTTCATTCCTGGAGTGCAAATGTTCTGAGCCCTCATAACACAATATAACAGAGATCAGAAATGCAGACACTTCAGCTGGCTCCTTTCTCTGCAAAGATTTACCTTGCTCAGAGGGGCCTGCAGAAGACTGGAGGACCAAGTGGGAGGGGAGGAAAGGGACAGCCCAGGAGACAGAAGTTAAGTGCCTCAGGCCCCTGATTCCTGCTAGGGGCTGGGCTTATTTTTCTGGAGTTAGCCTCCCCCATCTATGACTGTCTCAGAGGAAGGGCTTCCGGGTAAATTCTAGTGATCTCATATGCTCACACAGATGAAGCATATAAGCTCATGGGCTACGGCTATGGGGTGCTGAGACGCTGGTTGTAGAGCTCTGGGGTAAGACAGGAAATGTGCTCAACTGAAGCTGTCAGACAAGGCTCTGCCAGGTAAGCTCTAGGGTTAGACTCCCAAGTGAGTAGCTCCTTGTGTCCCACACACAGCTAGACCTCCCCAGCCTGTACTTTGCTCCAAATCAAGGCTAGATATAGCTTTAACTCCTGAAGACCCAGAACCATTATTCTAGTCTTTAATAGTGACCAAGTTCCTTTGAAAAAACAAAGAAATCAAAGCAAAACCAAAAAGAAAGAAAAAAGAGGCTAATTTTTTTTTTTTGAAGTGCTGGTGAGTGACACCAGACAGGCCTCGTACCTACCAGGCAAGTTGCTCTATCGCTGAGCTATGTCCCTACACTGTTGGCATCCTTCAACCATGAACAACTGAAGATGTTCGCTTGACCCCACATACACGGGTGTAGAAGGCCTGGCGATTCCCAGATCAGCCTTTTGGTAGTGTCCTACTTAGATGTGGTCTCACTGAAACAGAACCACTAGCAGGCACTTTACAGCAAGGAATACTATTGCACGAGTGTAGCAGCATGTGCAGTTTGTTGGCTGGGGATGAAGCCAAAGACCAAGTGTGTGATAAGCAGAAACCATCACCAGGGTGCTCCATTCAGCCCTATAAGATGGTTTTTATTCCTGTATTGTGTTTATTTCCCATTAGTGTAACACACACCAGAGATAATTTATAAAGAGGAAGAGTTTATGTCTGCTCACAATTTTGGAAATTTCAGACCATAATCATTTGATCCTGTTGCCTGGGGACCTGTGGTGAAGCAGCAGAAGATGGTGGGCATGTGATATTGGAAACTGGCTGGGAGGGGGTGCAGGGGGGAGGCCAGGGTTCCTCTGTCTCTTTGTAAAACTAATTTTGTCTATTTTTGTAAGCATATACAATGTTTCTTAATGATGTCCCTCTCCACTCCTCCATCCTCCTCTCCAGATTCCTCCAATGGGCATGGCTATGAAGTCATCCACTGAGGTGTGAATAACATACCAGCAGTCATGTATATGTGACAGTCCTATAGCCAACATCATCCTCATAGGAAAAACCCAGAAGCATCCCCATGAAAACCAGAACAAGACAAGGTTGTCCACTCTCCCCACCCCTAGTCAATATAGTGCTTGAAGTCTTACCCTGAGCAATAAAGCAAGAGAAAGAAACCAAAGGTATACAGATGATCGTGTGTGTGTGTGTGTGTGTGTGTGTGTGTGTGTGTGTGTGTGTGTGTGTGTGTGTGTAGGAGGGGTCTCTATTTGTAGATGATAAGATTCTATACATAAGATATCACCAACGAAACTCATAGGAGCTGATGAATATATTCAGCAGAGTATCAGGATACAAAATGCACAAAAAATCACTAACCTTTTTTATATACCAATAACATGAAGAAAAAGAAATCGGGGAAGTAATCCTATAGAACACACACAAACCTAACCAAGGAAATAAAAGAATTTTTCAATGAAAACATTAAGACACTAAAAAAATAAATTAAGGAAGACACTGGATGACAGAAAGACGATTCTCATACTAACCCTTTTGAGTGTGTGCTCCCAGTCATTAAAGACGTCTCTATAGGCCCCAGCTCTGAACCGCTCCCAACAGCACTAAACTGGGGACCAAGCCTTTGGCACATGGATCTTTGAACAACACTTAAGGCCCATGCTATATAGCATCCCTCTTAATGGGCCCTCAAGGCTTCCATGTGCTGAGATTAAACCCTTGGTCTGTATAGCCCCAGCACCTAACACATTACCTAAGGGCAATGGGGCACTTACTGTCATTCTGCTGGCAGCATGTCCTTATCAGCTGTTGTTCTGAGCCAGGCAGAACAGCCCTGGATTCTCTTACACAGTGGGCACTAACCTCCTTTTAATGTTTTCAACAGTGAGAAGTTTAGAACAAGAAATGTTCACAAATGACAGAATTTTTCTGGATGCTTGTTGGTGGCCTACTTACTGAAAATCCAGTTTATGAAAATCCAACCATGGTACCAGCCAATTAGTCCACAGTGCATGTTTCTATTTCCTGTCAAGGAGGGATGACCTCCCTCCACCCTGGGTTTTATGGGAAGAGCTATTTCCTCACCTCCTAATCTGCATCTCTGGTGATGGGGAATAAATTGAGACAGGAAAACTGGGCATATTGACTCCTCCCACTGTGTTGCTCCTCTTGAGAGTTGCAGCCGGCAGGGAAAGATGGTATCTGCTGCTGTCCTGGGACTTGGTCAGGCCCAGTGCTGTCATCTATTGAATTAAAAAGCTCTTGAATCTGGATACCACTACTAGCCTAGCTCATCTGACCACCACACCTAAAAAGAGAAAGAAAAAAGCATAGATAGCTCCATCCCAGTAAAGGTCAGTGGAAACAAGATAGACAAGTTAAATTCAATACCCAGAATGCACATGGTGAAAGGAGAAAACTAACCTCCCCAAAATTTGCCCCCTCACGCACACATAATAAATGCAATAAAAACAATAGGCACTCTCTCCAACTTAGCCTCCTAACTGTCTGACTCTTTGGTTTCATGCTGAAGTTTCTTGAAGTGCGGGAAAGAGCACTGACCCAGCAACTCAGAATCAGCCCCCAAACAAATTAAAAGTCATTTTGCTTGCTTGCTTCTTTAAACACTTCATTTAATAAAGACTGGTTAGAGAAGACACCAAGTAAACAAAAATGAAAAGAAAAAAAAAGGCAAGACAGAACCGGGAAATGTCACTCTGACTCAGCTAAAGATTAAAAAGACACACATGACAAATTGAAGCATAAGTGGATGACATACAGCATTTTGCAAAATACTTGGCTTAGTTCTTGCATGCATACCTAGTATGAGAAATCAAACCTGGTGTGCATGCTAAGCGCCTGGAAACCCTAAAGATCTAGAACCTGATCTAAGTCCTGCTGGTTCAGGGAAACTTCAAACAAGACTGAGTATAACTTAGAAATATTTTGTACAATTCAGAAGTAATTCATGGAACTTCCTGGGTTTCTACCTATGAAACAGTTGAACCGTGAAACACTCAGAAAGAATGTTAAATAATGCCACTCCCTCACTTATGCAACTATTTGCTCGTCCTCTCTCTTGGGATGTTTCACAGACATTTGAAGGTAGTAGCAAAGCGGACCTTCTGCTTGCCTGTCCAAATCCTTCTTCCTTTAGGTTTCCATATGAGTGAAGGGAACCAGCATCTGTGCCATTGAGTACCTGTCATGTTCTAAAACCCCGCATCCAATCTATTAGCAAGTTTGGCTGTGCTTCTGAAACAAATCCTACATCTCTTCATTTTCCAAAACAGGTGTCATTTCTCATGGGACTGTTAAATATCTTATTAATTGGCCTGCTACCTTCTGCTTTTTTTGTGGTACTTTATATTTGTTTTGGTCTGGTTTTGAGACAGGGTTGCATGTAGCCCAGGCTAGCCTCAAATTCCCGATCCTTCTGCTTTTACTTCTTAGAGGGGAAGATGTGTGTCACTAGACTCAGCTTTCATGTCTACAATCTAACCAGCAGCCATAATGAGTTTTAAAAGTGGAATAAGTAATTTCATTCACCTGCTTAAAATTCTCTAATGAGATGTAGGGATCTGGGTCAGCTGGTAACTGTGATTGCTA